GGGGGGAACAGGGCCGGCGCGGGGCGATGACGTCACCGGAAGTCGGGACTATAGAGACGCGCCAGTTCGGCGGCACGTGCTGGCGGACTCAAGAGCTCTGGGTGAGGCAAGTGGGCAGTACAGCCCCATGCCGAAGACCCAGACCTGGTCCTGAGGACTGGCGTAACAGCCCAGCCCCGTGGGCGACCTCGCATCGTCTCCCCTGCTCTCTGAGCACCTCACGTGTGACAGGCCCAGACAGCGAGGCGGCCCTCGCGGGGTCCCCAGTCTTTACGGCGAACAGCCCAGACAATGAGCGACAAGCTGGACTGCGAAGTAGAGTGAAGGGAGAGGGGGTCTGGATGGGGATGGAGTGGGAGGGCGTGGGGCAGGGTGGAAAGCCCGTAGGAGTTGAGACGGGGATGTGGGACTGAGGTGGAGGAAGAAAGGAAGTGGAGGGACCAGCGAGGCAGAAACGAAGTGATGGGCTGGCCTGGGTGGGACAGAGACCCGGGGTCAGGCCCTCAGCCTGATCCCGCGTGTCCACATTCAGGGCCCGGAGCCCGTGGAGGGCTGCAGCCTGGACAGCAGAGGTGCCCGGGGCAGCCCTGCGGCCCCAGCACCCCGGGAGGAGGAGGAGGAAGCTGGCGCGGCTGCAGGGCCAGGGCCGCAGCTTGGGCTCTATAGCTACATCAGAGACGACGTGTTTACTTCGGAGATTTTCAAGCTGGAGCTGCAGAATGTTCCTCGCCACGCCAGTTTCAGTGACGTGCGACGCTTTTTGGGCCGCTTCGGCCTGCAGCCCCACAAGACCAAACTTTTCGGACAACCACCCTGCGCCTTCGTGACGTTCCGCAGCGCTGCTGAGCGGGACAAGGCCCTGCGTGTGTTGCACGGTGCCCTCTGGAAAGGCCGCCCACTCAGCGTGCGCCTGGCCCGGCCCAAGGCTGACCCCCTGGCCAAGAGGAGGCGACAAGAGGGTGAGGGTGAGCCTCCTGTGACACATGTTGCCGACGTCGTAACTCCTCTTTGGACAGTGCCCTATGCTGAGCAGCTGGAGCGGAAGCGGCTGGAATGTGAGCAGGTGCTGCAGAAACTGGCGAAGTGAGTGTGTGCACCGGGCACCAGTGCATTTGGGGGAAGGCGAGCATAGATGGGGCAGTGTGCAGTCAGACTGCTGACCTGCCGCCCCCTTTCCCTGCAGGGAAATCGGGAACACCAACTGTGCCATGCTGCCTTGGCTGCTCTCACAGAGGCACAAGCACAACAAGGCCTGTTGCCCGCTGGAGGGGGTCCACCCATCACCCCAGCAGGTTGGCCAGGGCTGTGGCAGCCACCAACTCTCATCCTGTACTTATAAAATCTTTCAATTGCTTACCTTTCCCATCAGTCTCCCTGCTTTGCATTTCGTTTTGGCGACTCACTGCATGGCTGTTAATAAATTCTCTTTGTTTTGTCTGCTAGCCCTGTAGGGAAATTGCGGTTTTCCAGACACCAATGCTGGAGAGCCGCAGTGAAGTCTGCATGTCTCTTTGCCTCTCTGCAGACTGAGTATCGTAATAAGTGTGAGTTTCTGGTTGGCGTTGGGGTGGACGGAGAGGACAACACAGTTGGCTGCCGGCTTGGCAAGTATAAGGGTGGGTCATGTGCCGTGGCTGCCCCCTTTGACACCGTGCACATCCCTGAAGCCACCAAGCAAGTGGTGAAGGCATTCCAGGAGTTCATTCGGTGAGGACCCGTGGCCAGGCTCCTGGCAGCCCTGGGTGCTCTGGGGCAGAAGGCAGGGATTCGAGGGTGCTCTGGAGGGTCTATATGGAGCAGAGAGCAGGGAGGCTGCTCCCCAGTCCTGGCTGGCAGACATAGGGAACTCAAGGCCATCTGTGATTCCCACAGGTCCACGCCATACTCGGCGTATGACCCAGAGACATACACAGGCCACTGGAGGCAGCTGACTGTGCGTACCAGTCGTCGTGGCCAGGCCATGGCCATTGCCCACTTCCACCCCCAGGTCTTAGGTGGGGGCCTTACTGGGGGAGGGTGTCTGGCCTGGGTGGGCCTCAGCACAGCCTGATGGGGCTTTCTTACCACCTGTTCCAGAAACTAAGCCCTGGGGAGCTGGCAGAGCTGAAGGCTTCCCTAGCACAGCACTTTGTGGCAGGGCCAGGCAAGGCCAGTGGGGTGACCTGCCTCTACTTCGTTGAAGAGGGACAGCGGTGAGTAGCCCGGGAGGTGGTGAGGTGGGTCCCCACAGGGGCTGGTAGCCTTGAAGGCCTTCCATCTCCACCCATAGAAAGACTCCCAGCCAGGAGGGCCTGCCCCTGGAGCATGTCGCTGGGGACCGGTGCATCCATGAGGACCTGCTTGGGCTGACCTTCCGGATCTCTCCTCACGCCTTCTTTCAGGTAGCTGAGACCCTGGTGGGCACAAGGACACACAGAGGGACGCCTGACTCACCGTCAGGACGTGACGGGACAGTGACCTAGCACAACAATGGGGGCTGGCTTGAGATTTGGGAAGAGCTGTTCCTACAGGGAGGCCCTGAAGGACTCTCCAGTTGCATTTCACACCATGGGACAAGGCTCTGGCTTGGCAGAGCAGGGTGGCCTTTAGGCCAGAACAGTTTCAGGCCCATTCCTGATCAGAGGGAGCCTGTGAGGAGAGACCTAAAGGGAGGTATGGAGTCTGGAGCAGGTGAGGACCCTCTTTTGGACACAAGCCTAGCAGGACTTTTGCCGGAGGGCCAGAGTTGGGGTGCGGGGTGGTAGTCAGGTGACTCCAAAGGCCCTGGTGCAAGATGGTAGTTCTTGCTGGTGTAGAGAGTCCTCTTTGCTGGTGCAGCCAGTTGAGCAGCTGTGGGAATCCTGCAAGCTCAGCACTCACGGGAGGGTTCTTTGTGAACTTAAGGTAGGGAGGTTGCCACTGACTTGGCTCTTGAAGGTAGGAGGCAGGGTAGGGTCACTGGCATGATGTGGCAAGAGGGCTGGAGGCAGGGTTGGGGAAGAGGATATGCTGCCTGGGCCCAGAGGTCTCAGCAGTTGGAGCCGGGGGTTAAGTGCACTGAGGGTATAGGAGGGGAGCTGCTGATACCCTGGGCACCACCACATTCCAGGTGAACACACTTGCGGCTGAAGTCCTCTATACAGTCATCCAGGAGTGGGCCCAGCTGGATGGGGGCAGCACGGTGCTGGATGTGTGCTGTGGTACCGGCACTATTGGCCTGGCCCTGGCCAGGGTGAGCCTCTCCCCACCCCACAACCCACATCAAGTCCCCTACCTGAGGAGCCCTGGGTAGGCACCATTGTCTGTGCTCTTCCTGTTCCAGAAAGTAAAGAGAGTCATTGGGGTTGAGCTGTGCCCAGAGGCCGTGGAGGATGCCTGGGTGAATGCCCACACCAATGGTGAGCATAGCAGGTGGGCTTGGGGTAGTAGCCTTCCCTCCCCACTCCTGCACATACCTGCAAAAGGGCACTTGGAGTGCACCCTCTATTACCCTGGGGCTCCAAGGACCAACGGGGGGAGGAGGGATGCAGGGCACAGTAAAACTCTCTGAGGGGAACTACTGTACATTTGAGTCCTGGGGCTGCACAGCAGGAAGGCAGAGCTAGCAAGCTCCTTGGCTACTGGGTTCCCAGGGCTCTGTGAGGGAGGGTGTCCAAGACCTACTGACAGGCTGTGGGGTCATCTTCAGAGCTGAGCAACGTTGAGTTCCACTGTGGGAGGGCTGAGGACCTGATGCCTGCCCTGATTAGCAGACTGGCCTCCCAGCAGCTCGTGGCTATCCTGGACCCTCCCCGTGCTGGCCTACGTGAGTGGCCCCTGCTTGGAGGGTGGAGGGGGAGGTGGCACAGGGAAGAACATGGGTATCATGGTGGCATACCAGGCTGTTCAGTCTTGGGCCCTAGGCACCCAGCCCACATCTGCCTCCTCAGATTCCAAGGTGATCCTGGCCCTCCGCAGAGCTGAGAACCTCAAGCGGATCCTTTATGTCTCCTGCAACCCCCGGGCAGCCATGGGCAACTTTGTGGAGTAAGTGCTGGGAGGTGTGGGAGGGTGGGCCAGGGCCTAGCCATGGGGCTAACCTTGGTGCTACCTCCTGCCACCACAGCCTCTGCAGGGCCCCATCTAATCGTGTAAAGGGCACCCCATTCCAGCCTGTCAAAGCTGTGGCCGTGGACCTGTTCCCACAGACCCCACACTGTGAGATGCTCATCCTATTCCAGAGGGTGGAGCTCACCAATGGCACAGGGATCCTGGGGCTCCAGGACCCTCCAAGCCAGCCCCTACCAGGGCCCACAGATGGTACCCCACAGGAAATTGGGGCCTCTTCCTCATCCTAGGCCCTGAGACCAGCAACAGGCAGTTCTTTCAGAGCAGGGCCCTATAATGGGGCCAGAAGGCAAAGGGACTCCCACAGCCCTGCCCAGGGACCCCAGGGTGCTCAGAGGCAAGCAGCTGGCTCCCACCAGGACCGGCCTGTTGCCATGGGCTTAGGGCTCTTCACTCTGACTGGGAAGACAGGTGGGCTCCTGTGGCCTGTTCCCCACCTGTGCCCTTACCAGAACAGCTAAGTCCTGAGGGCTGGAATAAACAGTGCTAAACTAAGACTGTCTCTGTGGTGAGCCAGTTTGGGCACAGAGGTGCTCTCAACGCTCTGCTGAGGGTGCTAAGCAGGGTGTGTTGGGCATGTTAGCCATGCATAGCTAGGGTTGGAGGCTGGGTGCGGGAGTCAGTGCAGAGCTTGCTCACAAATGTTGGATTTTACACTTGAACCCAGGAAGAGGCAGAGACACAGACCTCAAGCAACCACCACCTGGGTGGCAGGCTTGAGGAGTGGCCAGGCAGCCCACCTCTCCCATTGTAGACAGTGGTCACAGTCCCAGCACCTGGTCAAGGGAAGGTCCCTCCTATACTCAGCCCAGGAGGGATGCCGGCGACCAAGGAGGGGCCCAGGACCATATAACCCTTGGGTAGTGCTCAGCTCCTGCAGGAGCAAGTGTGTCCAAGGCCCTCAGCCTCCTGCCCTCAGAAGAAAAACAGCAGCCATTCCCTTTCAGACAGTTTGCTTTATGCGTTCAGACAATCGAGGCTTGCCTTCCAGCCACAGCCCTGGGCCCAGAGGCAGAGGCTCCCTGACCTCACAGCAGGACTGCATACAACTTGCACCCACACTTGGACACTTGGTGGACCAGGGGTGGGGTAGGGGCACAGACTGCGAGGGACCAGTGAGTGACGGCAAGGCTCCCTGGTCTCCAGGGGAACATGTGCACAGAGCTTTGGTTCACAGGCGCATCTGGCTGTCTTAAGGGCAACAGTCATGGTCAAGTGATTATTCACAGCTGCAGACGGGAGGCAAGACAGAAGCAGGTTCTAATTACAGCAACTTGATTCAGGGATTTCTTTTGAAAGGTCAACACAGAAGCCAACCTTGGTCATACAGGTGGTGATGGAAGGATATGCTGTGGGTGGCCCACAGGCTGACCCCATGTCTTCCAAAGAAAAAACACCATCACCCCACCCATGGGCAGCATGGTAAGGCAGATGCCTCAAAATGCTGGGCTTGCTTGCATCAGATGGCATGAAGACATGGCACCCTATATGGGTGCTAGGGATGGCCAGCAATAGCTGGCACCACCACCAGGGCCCTGAGTACACCCTCATGTCCTGGGACATACACCCCACACCCATCCACAGGGGCCCAGCAAGCATCAGTGCTGGTTGAGGAGTAAGGGCAGCCTCCACTAAGATCCAGGGAAGCCACTGTCACCAGGAGGCAGCCACTCACTGTGCGTCCATACCAAGTAGACTGACTGCACTGAAGGCCTTGCTTCCTATTTAAAGAAGTCCACTTGGTAAAATGCATGACTCCAAATCTATCTACTACCCTCACTGTAAAAGTTTCTTTTCCAAATGCTAAAATATCATAAAAGCTTTAAAAATAAATGAGTGGACAAATGGACTTGACTGTGCAAAAATCTTCATAAAAAACTGTTGCCAGAGGCCAGCAAAGGTGGCCTCAGTGTCCAGGGAGGTGCACTTTCAGGGTATTAAGACTTGATCACAAAAGTGGACCATGCTCAGCAGCAGGCCAGCATGCCAGGGAGGCCACAGAACATCCTCGCTGGCACTGCATCCAGGCTGGGGAGCAACCTTGATGGTTTGCCTGCCATCTTGAAAAGCAGTGCTGATGCTAAAATTCTGTTTATTTTAAACCAAAAAGGTCTGAAATACTCCTCTGTTGTAACTTCTTCAGAGGAAAAAGGGAAAACACAGAAGGCAGGTGGGGGAGGGGTGCTGGTGCACCTGCTGGCCAGGACCCTGCAATGGGCTCTGCAAGCGGCCCAGGCACAGGGGCCACTTGGCACCACAAGCCAGCCACAGTCACAGCACTCAGTGTCCTTTCTCAAAAGTTGTCAGGGCAGGTCACACACCAGAACCATGAGAACCTTCGTGAAAGCAGCCTGCATCAGGTGCACCGAGGTCTGCAGCTGCCTAGGAACTACAGCTCCCTCCTGTGCAGGCACTGAAGAGTCAACCTGTCCAGGCCCGGGAGCAGCTTCCAAGGGAGAATCACTACCTTACGTATGCTGTGTGGCTGTGCCTGTCCCCTGCACCAGAGCCTCCACCTCTGGCCCAGGCCCTCAGATACTCTGGCCACAAGGGAGGAACTGAAGTTGGAGGCCTGACTCCAGTAGCTGATGAGTGACTGGTGGTCTCCTGGGCAGTGCCGTGGGAGGCCCCCACACCCCGGGCGTGCTGCTGCCTCACACATCCACAGTGCACAGGGGCTCACCGCCAGGCTGCGCAGACGCCACAATCGACATCTTGGGCTTCTTCCGTGTCTCCTCCTGAAAAATAGGTCAGGAATGCCAGCAAGGTGGGTTTGGCACAGGGATAGTGTGGGGAACACGGTGGAACAAGAGCTCCATAGACTGGTGCTATGAGGCCCTGGACTCTGGAAGCTCCCAGTTAATTGGGATGCCAGGCTGGGAGGAGGAGGAAGGCCTGGGGAACAGTTGAGCCAGGGCTGGACAGGCTCTAGAATGCCACTGCAAAGAGCAGTCCCGTGGTATCAGGTGTACACGTACAAGTGAAGGAGTTGGGTGTGGGCACAGCGACAAACTCAGTCTCTCCCCACCCCCCAGCCAGGGCCCCACAGCCCCCACTCCTGACCAAGAACAAGCCAGGCAGTCCTGCTAGCTCCAGGTAGGCAAGGCCCTCACCACTGCCCAGGGTAGGAGTGAGGCATGGGCAGCCTCCCGGGGCTTTCAACACAGGCCCTGAAGGCTACCACTAAGAAAGATCCTGCCTAGGCAGAGCCGTGAGCAGCCACTGTCAGCCTTGCAGTCCCCTCTTGGCATGGGGCACCCAAGGTAGCTTTAGGAAGCTTCACTGAGACCAAGCCCTACCAGGTTCAATTGCTCAGTGAACTTGTGAGTAGCCCCAGGACACCTCCCCTTAAACGATTGCTTGGAGTCAGGACTCTAGTCATAGAGTACAGTGGCCTGGCCCTTCACTGACCACAAGCTGGCTCTACTATAAAAGTAGAGCAATTTTATAAAATTTCGCACATATTGAACCTCATCTGGAAGGAGGGGCTGGGGCAGGTGAAGGCAGTACTCACCCTCTCCTCAGCCAGCCTCTTCATCTCCTCCTGGAGCTTGCTCAGGATGTGCAGGTTGGGCTTGTTCTTCTTCGCATACTGCTGCAACTCGATGACACTTTTGTCTGAGGTCTCCTGGGGACACAGGGCCCCACTCTCAGGACTGCCTGGCAGCAGTGTGCCCCATGACCCTGTGAGGCAGGAGCACCTAGGGCCTGGCAGGGACACAGCAGCCAGGAGACATGGCCACCAGGTGTATACCAGCTGCCCTTCTTCAATGATACCCGGGCTGCTCTCCAGCCATCCCATCCCATCCCACTTCTGCCTCCTCTTGCCTGGGCAGAATAGGGAGACTGGGTGCTCACTGGACCCAGAGTAGAGAGGCCTCACCCTCCAATAGAGGGGTCAGAGCATACTAGCCCCAGGCAATGAGTTTTCTGCACATCCTACAGCTTACACAGCCAGACAAGCTGTCCTGGGCCCCTTCCTGTCTTTAAAGGCCATCTCTGAGAGCACTGGTATACCCTAGGGTGCCAGAGCTCCCCTGTGCTGGGCTGTGCCAGGCTGGGACTACTGTCCTGCTTAGAGAAGACCTCTACCATGGGCGAAAGGAAGGTTTGCTTTCTCTCCTCCATCTGCACCTGGGACTACACATAGTAAAGGCAGAAGCAAGTTTTATCTATGTTACAACTGCTTGCCTGAAAGTGTCTATCCTTACACACGCTGGGTGCCGTTGTGGCCTGCCTCCCCCTGCCTTATCTTTATCATGTCCAAAGGCCTCTTCAGCGACAGTACAAAGTCCCAGGGGAGCTTACAGTGGTGTTGCACTCCTCCAGGCTGCCAGCTCAGCCTGAGAGCGCACAGCAGTTCTCACGCCACCCCACTTGCAGCACCCACCTGTTCATACCTACTGCCCCCCACCAAGAAGGACACCAACAACCTGGAGTTTCCATCAACACTGAGAAAAACCAAGAACTTGAACACTCGCCTCCCAGCACTTCCTTCCACCCTCTGGGTATGTGCACTGGCTTACATTTCAAGATCGTGGTCACAATGGCGGAAACAACAGAGATGACACACACGTGTTCTTCTGTTAGAGGTGGACCAGAGAGAGTGCCCTGACATGCCCAGTCTCTCAGCTACTGGGCATCAACTGAGCCTGAGGGTGTGCCACCCAGGGAGTGCCAGGGGCCTGGCTCCCAAGCCTGCTTGCCCTCAGAGCCAGGCTCACCAACACCATCTCCTGCCTGGCCCTGCCTTGAGCTCCAGCCACAGAGCTGGGCCCAGGCAGCGCCGATCACTCTCACACACTGACCATCTCCAGGAAATTCAGACAACCCATCTCCTGCCCACAAAGTACAGGCATGACTGACACAGCCAGCATGACACACTGGTTCAGGCAATCCTGAGCTGGAGGCCCCCAGGCCTGAGAGCCACTTACCTGCTTGACCATCTTGCTGCTCTCACGGCCATACATGCGCAGTAGAGAGCCCCAGTTCTTGACGTGTGGGTGCAACAGTTGAAGGATTTTCTGAGAAGCTAACTGTTTTCCAACTCTCTTATTCTTACCTACAAAGAGAAGGCAAGCACACAGCATCGCAATGAGCATTCCTTGTTTACAGACACCCTGCCTAGACAGGCGCCCCTGCAGTTCCTTGCCCCACAAACCCAGTACCCTGAGAGCCAGTGGGGCAGAGACAGGTGGCAGGAGGGGAACAGGAGAAAGAGGAGGGGCAAGGAGAATAGCCCCCAACCCAATCTCAGAGTAAATGTGTGGCACCCAATACACAGCTGGGCTCAGGAAGAACAAGCCCACGATGAAGCCACACACCCAGTGCCATCCCCCAGGGCTGGGAAGCAACAGAGGAGGGTCCTTACACCACCCGCGCACTGTGTGCTTGCCACACGCCATGACATATTCACTCTTCTGGTTTTTACCAGGAACCACTTCAAACTTGATGGATGTGTCACCCATTCCATGGTTTCTTTGAGAGAAAACAAAGATAGCAGGTGGTATTAACTGAGAAGGGAAGGGCTGCTCTGGATAAGGCCAAAGGCTCTCTGATGAAAAAGCCAGGCTTCTCCCACCCTATGTCTCAGCAGAGGAGACGGGAACTGTGGACACATGTGACTGAAGTCCTGATAGCCAGGACCCAGGGGCTTCTGTGTTCTCAAAGAAAACTAGTAACGCCTCCAGCTTGGGACAGTCAGCCACTGAGGATGTGGGACACCAGAGAGGAGCCCCGACCTGAGTGCAGGGGGAGGCACCCCGTCCTACCGTTTAAGGCACTCGTGGAGGATCTGATATGGGGACAGCAGCCCGGCCTTGCTGGTCAGCTCATAGACCCGCGAGTCCTCGATGCTGATGTGGTTGAAGTACTACAACACAAAGCAGATGCCGTGAGCGTACAGCAGGCCCACCAACGGCTCACAGCCAGGAGCTCAGGGCCTCTCCCATGACGTCCCCTGAGCTCACCACCCCACAGTCCTACAAGGGACCAACTGGGCACGGGTGGTGTTTTGTACCCCCCAACCACTGCCCCTCTCCAACACATCACAATGCTCCCTTAAGCACAGGGGGATGAGTCTGGTGCCCCACAGAGACCCTGGGCCCATGGTGGCCAGGGATACTTCTTCTGGCTCTGATTCTGATCAATTAAGGCACAATTCTTCAGAAGTCTAAAGACCAACCATCTCCTGCCAACTTGCAGCAGGACCACTCTGTCCTTCACATGGCCTCTCTACTTGTCTTTCCCTCTTCTGAGGAAAACACCAGACATACTAAATTAAGGGCCCAACTGCTCACTGTGTGTGACCTCACGTTAATCTCATTCTATCCGTACTGAATCTTTTACAGAAGATCACATCCTCAGGCTCCACAGACTGCCACTTCATGTTTCTCTCGGGGCGGGGGGGGGGGGGGGGGGGCACAAGGCAGCCCAGAACAGGCCTCCCTGTGGCTCTGAGCAGAGTCCCCAGTTGACAAGCAAATATTAGTTAACAGCTCACACCACAGTAAGCAGTGGGCCACCAGCCAGAGGGGCCACACTGGCCCACACTCCTTGGGAACCTTCCTCACAGCCCTTCCCTGGAGGGTTCTGTGGACAGACAGACGATAGCTCCTGGGCCTTCCCCCACTTTGGCATGGAGGCAGACATATTGGCAACCATGTACAGGAAGGCACTATCCCCAGGAGGACCACCCAGGCTGGCAAACAGGAACTCTGCCTGGCATGGTATGACTATTATCTTCAAACAGGACCCCAGAAGATATTCTCCACATATGCCCACATCTGTGTGGGCTTATTTCCAAGGAAAGTCACTCTGAAAGACAACAGACCCTGGAACCATACTCAGGGGCTGGCCAGCTGGCCATCAGTGACATGTGAGCCTTTTGGCCTGTGAGGCCCTGCCCTCCCTGCCCTCCAAGCAGCAGTCCATCCCTGGGCTGCTGCCCTGGAGTCAGGCTGAGCAAGCAGGCCCGAGCTGCAAGTCCACTCCAGGGCTACCAGACCCATCTAGAAGCGCCAAAGCTGGCACACACGCAGCAGAGAGCACAGGCTCAGAGGCACAGAGACACCAGGCTTTGGCAAAAGACCTGAGCCAGGAGGGCTTGTACCAAGCTGCCGCAGGCCACACATGCACTGAGACTTAACTGCCATGGACCTGTGGTGGCTCCAGCTCTGCAGACAAATGACGGAAGTGACCAGAAGACAAGCCACTGCTGTTTCTAACAGACATCACAGGAGGACTTGAGTCATCAGTACCTGGCAGATGTCCAAGGCCTATGAGGGACCACCACAGACAACCGACACCCATGGATTCAACAGTCTGAGTAAAAGTGGACCAATTCCTTAAAAAATATTATACAGATTATCTAAATAGCCTCAATAGCCATGTACCTATTCAAGAAACTGACATTGTACTTAAATACTATTCTCGCTAGGAAAACTTCAAGCCCAAATTTTAAGAAAGAAATTACACCAATTCTATACCAGCTCTTTCAAAATAACTCAAGAGGAGGGACACTTCTCAACTCATTTTATGATGCTAACAGTACCACAATATTAACACTAGGCAAAGACAGTACCAAAAACTACACACTAATGTCCTTCATGAATATAGTATAGAAGCAACCAACAAATATTGGCAAATTGAAACCACCGACACATAAAAGAAATATATTCCATTCCCAAGAAGGACTTAACCCATCAACACAATTAACTACATTAACAAATTAAAGAAGAAAATTACATGATAACATCAACAGACACAAAAAGGGCATCAGACAAAATGCAACACTATTTCCCCATAAACCCTCCCCACGATAGCAAGAGACTGGTGAACAGACCTCGCACTCACTGGGGCTTTAGGTAAGGAACAAAGTTGTCTGCTCTTACATTTCCAGTCAAAGGGGCACTGGGGGCTCGCACCAGAGTAGTTTGGCAAAAACTAAAGGAGAAAGTACCCAGATTGGAAAGAAAGAAATCACACTGCCTTTAATCATACTTGGCATGATCCTGTATGCAGCAAATCCAAAGCCTACAGGAAAACAACCAGAATTTCCAAATAAGGTCAATATGCAAACAATAAAGTATATTTCTGCTAGCAATGAACAATCAGAATTGAAACTAGAGTTCTGCTCACAACAGCGGCAAACATCTGAATCACCCAAGTCTAAATCCAAACAGTATGTGCAGGGTCCAAGCGCTGAGAACTACTACCTTCTCTGTGATTTGAAAGATAACAAAGAAGACCTAGTAAATGGACAGATAGACTGTATTGATGATTTAGAAGGCTTAATATCGTTAGGATGTCAATTCTCCCCAAATTCATCCACAGATTAGCATGATTCCAATTAAAGTTCTAGCTGAAATGTTTATAGAAATTGATATACTATTTCTAAAACAAAGGAGCTGCTAGAAAAGCCAAAAAAGTTTTTAAGAAAGAAAAAACCCAGGATTTCCACTATCTAACGTCAAGATTTCAAGTTATAGAGGTGTGGCATCAGAGAAAGGACAGAGGAGAGCCCAGAATAGATGCCACATCCCCAGATCACAGTTCACTGAGGAAGGTGCGAGGGCAATACCAGGTAAGTGCCTGATATAGGCCCAGCAGCCCCAGCCCCGGTGCCCACACAGAACTGGGTGGACCCAAAGACCCACACAGAACTGCATAACCTCACTGCCCATCACCACAACCTGGAAGGACACCAGCAATCCCTAGAGCCAAAGAGGCAACACCCCACACGGCCACCGCATGTGCTGCTGTCCAGGAGTAGACACCCATGGCATACACCTAGAGGGGGCCAACCACTCAGCCACCAAGGCCAGATTCAAAGGAGACTTGCTGCATGGACCTCCAATAGGACATTCTGGAATGGGGAAGACAATGGGCCCTAAGAGGGCACAACACAATGAAGGCACTTCTGCACCTCAACTTCCACGTTGGTCACAGTACTCTGCTCATTTGTCAGAACTCACACAACTGCACCAAAAGTGACTTTAATGCCATGAAAATTAAAAAATCAGTTGAAGAAACTGAAAACACCTGATCACTAATGCCTAAATTCACAAATAGCCAATTAACTACTAGATAAAAGACAACAAAATACTCCAAGTGTGAAAGGCACTAACAGTTCTGTTTCTATTTTTTCTTGCTTCTGGGCGAGTGCTCTGGCCCTGCACCTCACAAGCACCCACCTGCAGGGAGCTCCCAGAGCCCCAGGCCCTCGCCTGCTCTGACATCTCAACCCCACTGCCCAAAACAGGGCTGTCCCAGAGCAGAGGCAGCCTCCCAAACACTTCCCAGGAGGTAGAGATGACTGTGTGCCCACTCCCCTCCACCACACCTGCAGGAAAACCTACTCCCAGGAGGTAGAGATGAGTGCGTGCCATGCCCACTCCCCTGCACCACACCTGCAGGAAAACCTGCTTTCTCCTCAGACAGATATCAAGATGGGGAATCATAGATACGTATGTGTACAACTAAATCAGGTCAAAAGGCTTCTCAGGAGGGGCGCGAATGAAACACACCCTACACTAGCCCAGGTGCAGAGGCTCACACCTGCAGTCCTAGCACTCTGGGAGGCTGAGACAGGAGGATTGCTGGCACCCACAAACCCAAGTTTGAGGGTGCAGTAAGCTGTGATACCACAGGACTCTCCTTGGGTGGCAGAGTGAGACTCTGTCCCAAAAAAAAAAAACAAAAGCAAAACTTTTCCTTTGGGTAGAATTTTAAAAAAAGACCCCCTACACCAAGGTATAGTATAATAAAAATATATCTGGTCTTTGTCAAGAATCTCCAGCATGGAGCTCCTACAATCCTAAGGATTTCCTGAGTGATAGGAGTGTCTTTAGTTATTCAAAAGAGCATAAAATCCCAGCTCTTTAGGAGGCCAAGGTGGCAAGATCACTGGAGACCAGGAATTTGAGACCCACCTGGGCATCTTGGGGAGCCATTGCCCCCCATCTCCCTCACCACCACCACCCCCACATTTTATAAAAAAAATTTAAAAGTTAGTTGGGTGGAGTCCCAGCTACTCCAGAGGCTAAGGTGGGAAGACCAGTTGAGCCCAGGAGTTCCAGGCTGCAGGGAGGTCTTATCACACCACTGTGCTCCAGCCTAGGTGAGCATGAACCCCTAGCTCATTTGAAAAAAAAAAAGATCCACATCTGAGCTTATAGAGATGAGCTGGCTCAGATTAAACATGTAATTAAAGGGTGGGAACTTTCAGATTGCTCTACCACTCAGGGAAGGGAAGGAGGGCTGGAGACTGGGTTCCAAAACCCCAAGGAGATTTGGAGAACTTCCTGGCTCATGAAGGTGCCCATGCTTCAGGAGCGGGGTACACACCCCAACTCCAAGGGCAGATTCCTGCCCTTGAGTCCTCCTGGCCCTCGCCCTATGCTTTCCTGAGTTCCGTGAGTCCTTATAGCCACTGACCAGCCTGAAGACTGCTAATCTGCAGCTGGCCAGGCAGAAGTGTGGGGTGGCCAGGGTCCCCACCTGCAGGGCGTTTGCTCTTTATCTTGTGAGAGCTGACGCCCACTCCAGGTACACAGCGTAAGGCATGAACAGGCAGGTGGTGCCAGGGGTTGGAGGAGTGGTGTGGACCTCCACCACCCCCCAACCTCTCAGTGGGATTTCTGAGTTAAGCTGAAGCTGTCACATCGCGTTCTCCACATACAGGCCCTTCTCCACCTGGGGTAACCTCCTCTTTCTCAGGTTCCTTCCCAAAGTGGTTTCTGGAAAGATTTTCCAATTCCCCAGAGTGCACACTTAGAATCTGATTCACAGCTGGGCTATTTCCCAGCACCAAAACCCATAATCACTCACACACATTTCTGCCAGCCCATATTCAAGGAAAACCTGGGCCAC